TAAATCAATTCTCATTTTCAACCACACATTCTTCAATAAAATAACATTTTTCATCACATCAATAATTTCTTTTTCTTTTTCAACCACACATTTTCCATCATATCACTATTCAAAATCAATTCTTTCTCCAAAAATCTCTCCCAAACAAGCTCTAAATATTTCATCAATTTTTTTGTCGAAATTTAATTTTTAACCTAACCTGAAAATGACTTACTGTAGTTTTTTAATGCGGGTCAAACTTAGCGTTTGATTTTAATTATTTGATAATCACTTTTTTTTCATACTCATTTTCAACTATACCTTCTTAATATATATTTATTTTATTTTATTTTTCTTTTCTTTGGCTAAATTTAAAAGGTTTCTTATGATATTGCTTAGAAGCTTAGACAAAGTCCGTTCAAGCAAATTATAAGGTCGTCTATAGGGCCCCAATTTATCGAAAGCCACCAATTTTCAAAATTTGCATATTCTTATCTCTGTTTTTCTCTTATGAAATTTTTTTGTTTGTAATAAATTACGGTAAAAGAATATAATTAACTATTGTAAATACTAAAAATTTAAAGAGTTTAACATATTTAATTTACCAAAGAATTCTGTTAAGAACAAAATAGAAGTTAGGAAAGTAAATTACAAATCGATAATTTTAAGGATAAACTAAAACGATTATCTTACTTGTGTTTCATCTAAATCAATAATATTTATTGATTTTAATCAGAAGCACCAACAACCATATAGTGAACGATCACCAACGACTTCTCGTCGATGACTAAGGCACCATTCGTGATTCCGACAACATCATTGACAGTGTGTCGTCAAAGCGTCGACAAATAATCAGCAATGGTACCGATAATCACCAATAGATAATGAATTCAATCAGAATCACTAACCATAGAATAATAAAATAATATGACAAGTGTACTCACAAATTTTTTCTACTTTTTAATCATATGTTTTTTTAAATAAAATTATATTTCACAAAATCTATTATAAAAAACATACATCTAACGGGTGCCTTACGTATTTACCTTATTTTTTCTTTTCCAATATCTACTTTTTGGGTTTTGAACGATAATCACAAGTGGTGAGGGCAAAAAAATCTAAACATCGCTACAAAAACACAACAAATGCACATTAGATATAGTGGTGCTTCAGTTAGGAGAGTACATTTTTTACTTCATATTACCTAAGTCGAATCAAAATTGGATCTAATCAGTCCACTACGTTTGGTTCCAATCGAAATTGGTTCGGTTTCGAGTCCTAAAATCAAGAAATCAAACAGTTCCGATTCTACTATCGATTCTAATATCGAAATCAATTTTGATTCAATTCCAATTTTTTTTATAATCTCTCAACAAAATCATAATTTATATAAATTCACTTGTATTTAGAATTCGAAGTGGGAATTGATTTGATTTGATTCTCAAGGTAGCCTAACAAAACTTCTAAATGGCCACCCCTAGCTGTAGTTGTTCTTTCTATTTATGTTCATTAGGCTCAATATTTTTTTTATTATTATTTATTTTTTGCAATGAAAACAAATTTCATAACTAATTGTAAAAAAAATAATAATAATAATTTTAATGAACAATTTTCATGTAAAACAAAGCCAAGAGAACACTAAATTTTGATAAAAAAATAATTTTTTAGGAAATTTTTTTATTATTTTTTTTTTTACTTTTTGACATTGGAAATAAATTTTATAACCAATTGTGAAAAGAATTGTCACTTTAATGGACAATTTTCATCTAAAACAAAGTCAAACGAACACAAAATTTTAAAATTTTTCGGGTGGAAAATTATACCAATCAAACACACTTATTTAACAATTCTCTGTAAAACAATTTTTAGGTAATTACTTTTCCTGGAATTCATTTTCTTTCCACCCATTTT